TCAAGTATAGCAGGGATTGTGGGGCTGGCACGGGATCGGGCAGTGTTTCGTTCTGCTGTGCATGGGGTCGCTATGAGTCAGAAATGACTCGACAGCACTTAACAACAACAACAACTCTTTCCTTCATCTTTAATGGCCCTTCTACCTGCCTCTTAGGATACTGGTTTTGAGAAGCCAAGGAAAACATAAAACTGTGACTTATTAAGTAAAGGCAAACTGATGCCACATTAGAAGCTAGTAAAATGAAAATTAAACAGCAGCTCAAGATGGTCTCCAAACATTTTGGTTCTTATGGACCAAAATAAACCAACTATGATTTGATCCTATGGTGCAATGAATTACTTAGTATGGGCCTTCTAGCCATGGTCTGTGACTCCTACCAGGTGACTGGGTGGGACTATGTAAATGTGAGGTGCTTGTGGCCCACCAAAGGGATTAGATAGTATTTTGTTTCTCTAGTGCCACACTAACAGAGAATACCACAAGTGGATGGATTTAACAAACAGGGATATATCATTTTCTTACAGTCTGGGGGGCTAGAATCTGAATTCAACATGCCAGTCCTAGGGGCTGGGTGAAAGCCCCTCAACCTTGGGCTTCAGCTCTGCCTCTGGCTCCCAGCCCACTGAAACTGGAGGCATCTCTTAACTCAAGTAGCTGTTGGCTACTGAGGCTGAAAAACCCAAGGTTGACAAGTAAAATGTCACAGTCCCAAAATTATCAAGCAACACAGCATGCCACTAGCTCAAGTCCAGAAATAGTCTCAAGATTGGCAGAAAACATCACAGGCCACTGAGATGAAGACTCAGCCAAATGCAGGATCCAGATGTGCCAAAAAGCTTAAGACCTTTCTCAAAGCATCTTCTTATATACTGGATGCAGACCACATCCCTAAGGCAGCTACTCAGCTGCTCACAGTATATTCCACCGTGGAGTTGATTGCCAGTCTCATCATGGGGAATAACTACATCCAGCTGCCCAGCCAAGTTGACACACAACCTTAACCTTCACAGATGTTGTTTTGTTGTTGTTAGGTGCCATTGAGTCATTTCCAACTCATAGCGACCCCATGCACAGCACAACGAAACACTGCCTGATCCCGCGCCAGCTCCATAATCCCTGCTATACTTGAGCCCATCATCGCAGCCACCATGTCAATCCATATCGTTGAAGGCCTTCCCCTCTTTCGTCGACCCTCCACCCTACCAAGCATGACATCCTTCTCCAG